CATTTGCATTCCAAACAGTCATTATTGATAAATGAGCATGTCTGTCATAATTTTCAAATCACAGATTTCCTCTATTTAATGCAGATTGGCCATTATTTTTGCTGTTGCACTCACCAATCAATCCACAAGGAAGTTACAGAACATATTCCTGTGGTTCTCATTTGTTTGTGTAAATATCAGTGTGGGGCATCACATAACTAATAGGATGCTGCAATTTCCCAGTTACCCATTTCACATGTTGGGTTAATAGGAGGTAAGTGTAAAATATTGCCTCTTTTTCTTACTCTTAAAAACGTCTATTCTCAATGCCTCTTAAGTGCCTCAACATTAACTTAATGTATCCGTTTATAGAGAGATAGCCACATCAGCCTTATCTGTTCATACTGGGAAAGAAAACAAGTTGATCAGGAAGAATACCTGCAACAGCTCTTATGAAAGCTGCACGAAGTCCTATAGAAGACTGGGATCAGCAGAAGCCTCCTTCTGGGAACAGATTATGTGGCCAAGATCACTATAATCATGGTCATAACATTGGAGGCAGATGAAACCTTTACTGTTACTGAATTCTAAGACTCGTGAACAGCACAGAAAAATGGTTTAATGACCTTCCTTTTTTTTCAGTGCGGAGTGGAGGGGGAGGATATAAATCGCAACACAGGCTGGAGGAGTCAGAAATACAATGGAACCTGTGAGGGAGCAGTGTGGATGAGGTGTATAAAAATCACAGCCGAGTTTCAAGATCCACATCACTTAAGCTGTGTGTTGGGGAGTCACTGGGACCTGAGAGGGAGCAGCTGGTGCTGAGTTTAAACAGATTGGGGAAAAAAAACAGTTACAACACAGGAAAACCATAAATTCACTGGTTGATAAGAAACAGTTATTTAGGATTGTCTACAAATTGTTATAAATTAGAAAAGCGTATTTTTTAAACAAGTATATGTACTTATATTTATCTGAGAGTCATAGCCAATATAATAACTAAGACTTAAAGTAAGATCTCCAAAGACTTAAGGCAAGGTCTTTGCATTGCAGTGGGAGTGTTTGGAGTGAAACAAGATCCTTAGCACAATTGATGTTCTTGAAAGGGACTAACCAACAAGCTTAATCAAAGTCATAGCAGTGGAGCTCACAACCATGATATGCTCCTCCAAAAGGTTGTTGTTGAGAAGAGGAATCAAGCTTATGAGGAAAGGACAGGAAAGTGAATGTGAGGAATGTTGGATCAACCATGATCCAATTGAAGATCAGAGCATGTTGAAGGGACTAATTGGATCGCTATTTCAAAAAGCCGGCATATGTTGCAAATTGCACATTCATTTATTTAATTATGCACAGGTACTGACCATTAATTTGGCAACCACTAAATAGGTGGAAACTGTTAGCAGTTGGGTGAGAAGGCATGTCTTTGTAATGTGTATCCCAGCAAATAAATATTTATGAAACTGTAAAGATCGACTCAATTAATTAGATGTGCGCAGGTAAATTCTCTAAAGATGACTTCCAGCTGAAATCCCAACATCCAGCTGAGACCCCCTACATCCTTTTGTCCTTTGCTGAGTTTCTCCTTAGACAAGTAGGGAACCCCCTTGATGGTGCTGGAAAGGCCATTAGATTCGACAAATAGAAAATTAATTGTCTCCGTTATCATTTGTTGTGGTCATGTCAGATGCCTACACAAAGTTCTTGGTAGAAGATATCCTCGATTGTGATAAACGAATATGGTTTATTACATGGTACTTAATGGTTTGTTATATTATATCTGAGATACGTGCTTTTAAAACTTCAAGCTATACTTAAGAGAGCGCACATGTTATTTTGACTGAAGCATTCTAGTACACACCTTAGAGGCAGGTGAACAACTGTTAGCTCCTACCAGGAGAAGTTTTTTGTAACCCGATGGTTGGAACTTATCTCATGATGTCAGTTAACCATTCGGATACTAACTGCCTTGTATTGTATATTGTACAGCCGGAATTCTGGTATTAGCAGTCAGTGAATCTAATTTCCAATGAAAATGCACAATAGGATGTGCTTTTTCAATGAAACTGATAGGGAGAAAAAAGACATTGATCAATAAAACTGAAGGGCAGCAGCCAAGGCTAGGTGGGAGGCTGCTGCTCAAGCACTCTTTGGCCAATGATTGCCAACTTCTTGGTAGCAACTTCATCCATCTTGCCCTTCACTCACCTCGAGTTGGATCTTTGTTATTTTAACTCATGCCATGCCATTTTGCAATTCCTGAGAAACATCAAGAAGGCAGCAACATTAAAGGGAACACCAGTGGACTCCAGAGGGGCTAGAGATCCAATTCCAACGGGGTCTGACCCAGGATTTAAAGGCAGAGGGATCAGCTCTTTCAAAATATGTGAACAGCAGTTCCTTGGGAGGCTCAGGTTTTCATAGCAGATTGTTGTGGAAATCTGCAACTTCTAGGGACAAGACTTACCCCAGGTGGGCATGCATTGCAAGTGGCAAACAAGGGGTTTGACACCTGAGAGTTATCTATTCTCCAACGCCACTCCATGTCTCTGTCTCTCCCTGAGGTTGTGTGTTCTCTTCTTCAGCAAGGAGGGAACATATAGATTATGAATGTTCAGAATGTATTGAGTAGATAAAAGGGAAAGACAATATTTGTGGATCCTGACTGTGGGGCTTAGCTATGAGAGGACATAGGATGAGTCTGAGTTTGAGTGCAGGTCAGAAGGGGACAATTAGACAGGAAATAGAAGAGCTGAAGATATATTGTCCTGAGCAATACTGGTTAAGACAGTGTGGGACCTGGGTCCTCACTGTAATATGCCATTCCCTTTCCTATCCTCCTGAGATCCTGGAACCACTTGGTGCATTGTCTCCAAGTGAAAGGAACACATTTCTCTTCTTCACTTCCTGGGCATTATACAGCCACAGCTGCTGGATTGCTGCTGTTTGAGAGAGCTCACCTCACTGCATCTTACAACAGGACGTCCAGCTAAGACCAAAAGACCCAGCAAGCAGTCTTTCCAAGTCTCCTCTCCTTTCTTGTAGTTGCTGCAACTTAAATAAATTAGTATGCAGTTGATCCATTTTCAATGTATGCTTGCATTCCTTTAATTTCTTTGGCACCACCTTCAAACTTGCTGCCATGTTTTCTAACTGCCATCTTTGTACCTGCATGCCACCTCTACAATGACACTTACTCATGGTGACAACTTGCAAATCTCCCCTATACTAGATAGGTTGTTATGTCTGCTAAAGTTAGACCACTCAGTAGGGGAAGCCCAATCTGTAAATGCTGATCACATCTAAAGACAATGCCATCCCTACCCTGGGCTGTAATATCACGGTTGCTGTGAAGCACACTGCGGTCACTGGGATCCATCAACAGCCAACTCAATGCCAAGAGGCTCGTTTCCACTCCAAAGCAATCCTTTGCACATGCAATATGTGCAGCCTTCCATTCCCACTCCTTTCAGCACATACCCCCAGCCACAGAGAGATAAAACTTGCATTATACTTGAGTCCCCTGGTGTAATTTTATCACACAGAAAACTGGCAGGATTAAAACAGCCTCTCCTACTGATACCAGTGAGAATGTGCATTTTCCTGCTGGTGGTTTTCACACTAACAGTCTTCACATCAGGAAGATAGTGTGGTGCAAATGTATATCTTGTCTGATATTGCTGAGTCTTTGATCTACTTATATGGCCTTAAGCAACAAAGGATGACTTGAAGCAATTAAGCGTGTTTCCTTCTGGCATCATTACCTTTAAAAAATTGAAGTTCTGCAGGAGTGGAAGCCTCTGATTGATATCCAAAGTGCAGCCATCAGAGTTATTGCAGCTATTAATATAAAAATGTTAAGGAACATTGCAGAAAATGTATTTCCAATACACTTTCCAATTACATATTAATGCATTAAATAATATTGGTACTGTGAAGGAAGTGTGTATAAGCATCCCTGATTTTATTTTCCTTCCATCAATTGCTCAGACCACTCAGTTCTGAACTTCCCTTCATAAGCCCCTGCTTGCTTTCTTTGAGATACTCCTTAAAAACTATTCCTTTCACCAAACTTCCCATTATGTGTCCTAATATCTTCTAATGTAGCTTTATTAGTACAGCTCCTTATTCAATGGAGAATAAAATTGGATGGCATGTAAAATCCCATCACCCAATCCCATCAGTCTTCCTTGCACATAGGTTAAATTTGTTGTCATTGGACAAAATGTAAAATCAGCGTTCCACCTCAGCCTGTGGGTTTCCCACCCAGCAAATTAGGTTAAAATGCTGTAAAATTCAGGAATGTAGTGACTGAACAATGCACTGTTCTGTTCACACGTTGGAGCTTTGTCTGACTGAAGGCGTGAATTCTATGGCTAAGAAAACAAGCTTCAAGGCATCAAAGTTAATTTGTTGTTGATGAAGGATCAATCAGGATTGGTAATCGCATGAAAATTCTTAGATGCTCGTTCAGGATCATATTGTTATTTACAGATCAGATCATTTTGTAATGTTGCAGGGGTTTCCCAAAAGCCACAAACAAAGCATTGGTTTTAAAACTCTTACATTGCTCACACACCGTCATACACCTTATAACACATGTAACACTTATTCCAGAATTACTTCTCAATCACACTTAATTGTTGGCAGATTCATTCTAATCTCAAGAAGATTATTGAAGGACTCTTGCTGTGCAGTGGTAGTGGCCTGGGTTCAAGTCCCACGAGCTGCCAAGTTGTATCATTACATCTTTAAAAAGGTTGATTATAAAACACCTCACAAGCTGATTGAATGTAATCTTACAAAATGTATTTTACCTTTTGGAGCTGAAATACAAAAGGGTGGAAGTTATGCTACAACTGTTAAAGGCATTGGTTTGTCAACATTCAGTCCTCTCACCTCACAAAATGTACATTGGCATGGGGTCCATGCAGCCCAGATTTGCCAGCTCATATTGGAGGTAAAATGGTTAGGTTATGAGGAGAAGTATATTAACTAGCCTAGTATTCCCTATAACAGAGAAGATTAAGGAGTAATTTAAAGAAGGTGGGCAAAATAGTTGTAGGTTGTGATAGTGTAGAAAGATGAGAAGCTCTTTTCTCTCATGAGATTAGAACAGGAGGGCCTAACCACAAAATTAAGGACCATTCAGAGGTAATCCCAAGAAGGACGTCTATTCACAAAGGATAACGAGAATTTCAAAACCATCTTCACAAAACGTTGTTGAGGCTGAGGCAATTGAAGAATTAAAAACTAAAGTAAATACGTTTCTGGTAATTCAAAGGTATTATTCAGGGCTACAAGAGCAAGGCGGGTATCTGGATTTGATAGGCCTTAGTCTACAAGAATGATAGAAGTTGCACGAGAGGCCTAATGGCCTACTTCTGTTCATATTCCGACCACAAGTTGTGAATTGTTATATTTACAAGATCAAACATTTTCTGGCCCTGCTCCCTGTAACCTACAGTTTTTCAGCAGGTGTAAGAGACCACAGAGAGGTAAGCTAAACAAGGCAGTAAACAATTGAACAGGTGTGTGTACCTGTGGCATGGTTCAACTTTTAAATATCAATTTTTGTAGTGAGGATAATTTATACTTCAATCTCCTGCAGTTATCTCTTTCTTTCTTCCAGAGACTAAACAATCTGAACACTCT